AATCTCATCAGAAATTAAACTGGTAAAAATAATTATAATATTATTAACCGCATTTTGCAGGCTTTATATACGCTCATGACAAAAATTTGAATACGGGTACAAACAGTGAATAGCGCGCCGCATAGCGGTAAGCAAATGAACTATAACCTTAATACTAGTTACAAAAGGACTTTCTGAAAGATTTCAGAAATATTGCAAATGCAATATTTTAAAAAACCTGATACAGGTACATTTCCGAAATATTTCGGATGCAAAGTTACAATTGAAGTATTAATGAAATATTTCAGTACCATTTCCGAACATTACAGTATTTCAGCAATATTACATGCCGAGTGGGTAGTTGCTTTGCAAAGTGTAAAGAATTAGTAATAGACAAAGATAGAAATCTCTTTAGAAATGTATATATATTTATGTGTACAAGAGAGACAATATATTCAACAAACCATTTTTATTTGTTTTTTAATAATTGTCATTCAATTTAATTAATACTTAGAATACATAAGTATTATTATCATATACAATATTTGTTATAAACATTCGAAATGATTTATTTAGATTCTTTAACATTTGCATGTGGAAAATAAGACTGATGGAAACAACGCTATTGAAAGTATTACCTACAAGAAAGAAAATATTGCTGAAAATCTTGAGGAACACACTGCTCAAGATTGTTACGTTTCGACAATGCTCTTTTCTTACTATACCTCAGTTAGTAAGAAAGGGATAGCTCTCTATTTTTTATAGGGCAACCTGCTTTCACCGGCTATATCCCATGCTGTGTTCCGATTCCAAACCCGGGTGCACCCGATATTATAGTATATGTCACGTATACTATAATATCGGGTGCACTCGGGTGGAGAATCGGAACACAGCCCCACGGATGCCGAGAGCTAAAACTGATCTGGTGGATTCTAGGGGAATGACGTTAGGCACGGAACTAACCTTTTACTAGAGTGATTTTACTGGGTGTTAGATATAGAAATATACGCATGCGCAAATATTCATGTGTGATTCAATAGTAAGCGCCGGTCTACAATAGGTGATTTAAGCCCTAAGTCTTAAG